TGTATCTGTTGGATGCAGATACTTTACATAAATACAAGTTGCTTTGAGTAGGAGATACGTGACCATTTACCGATAGAGTAATCCATGGGTAACTAATTGTATATGTGTATCTTTTAGATGCAGATACTCTGCTGAATCAAATCGAAATGTGTTAATCAATCCATCTGTCGTTAGAGCACATACCACACCACACACACAATCCCGAAGCCGCTTAAATATCAATTACGTGACCAGCAACTCATCAAAGCAATCGGAATCGACTAAAGATAAGAGTACACCAATTGTATATCCAGAATGGAATGGAGTTTCTGCTCAAATTCATGTGTCAATCGTACCCCTAAGAACATGTCAACACTTCAGACCTCTTATTCCCCCCAGTTAGAGCCTCTCCCCGTCGCTCTTTCTTAGTTAAGCCTATTAAATGCCCCCAAAACGCTTTGTTGTGCCGCCTCTTGGTCTCTTTTGGGCCAAGTTTCTTTGCCGTTTGTCCGGCCCGTCTGCGTCTGTCCGTTTATTTGTTTGCCTTTTGTGTTTGTGTCTTTATTTGTAATAAATATGTTTGACCAAAGAGTGAGTGCCCCAGCCCCAGAGGGTCTGGAACGAAGGTGAGTTATTAATTTCACAAGTTTTGTCTTCAGTTTTTCCACACTCCCTGGCGATTATCAGGTTACATAATTGTCGCATTGTATCCTCCCCCATTTTTATGGACTGTAATTATCGCGTACATCGAATGCCTTCTTCGATTTGTAGGGTTTCCCCTTGGCCTATCATCAATAAGGATGAGAGGATAGCCGGATAGAACGGCATAAGCAATTCGAAAAAGTCAACCCACGCCAAGCCTCGCCGAGGGTCGGTCCGCCTGTAATTGAGTAATTTCCACTTGAATTTCCCCTTTCAGTGTGTGTTTTCCTTTGCGACTTTGTGTGGGATTTCAACAGATTGAAACGAAGGACTTCAAGTCGAGTGTACGAGTATCTTGCACTAGGTACGGTATCTATTTCCCTTCGGCTGTGCTGTGCTGTATTGTGGCTGTGGTCTTGGTCGGCTTTAGGGATTTCTGTGGTGGCATTACATTTAATATAAGAAGAATTTAGTTTCGTTTCGTTTCTTCTCTGCCTTGGGGTTCCACTAGGTGGGTGTTTGGGTGGGTGGCCTTTCGATGGGTGGAGACTTTGCTAACAAGAGAGCAGCCGAACACGAACAGATCAAGCGTTTCTTGCACTTTCCTTTCTGGCAGCGTGACGCGTGTGAATTTCAATTTGAATTCGAAATTGGTAACAATGATGCGGCCCTTTTTGCGCTCAACTGTCATAGAGAGCGCCGCGGCGGCAGAGTGTGGAGGGAGGGGTGTGGAGCAAAAAACAAATAAAAACTGACAAATAACTGAAAAGGGCAACCGAGAACCGAGGGTAATAATGATGCTGCAGTCATGAGATAGATGTAGACGTGCCTCCAGCCTCCAGCCCCCAGCCACCAGTCTGCCCGTACCTTGATAGAATTTCAATTTCGGTGAGCTGCAATAAAAAATCTATTAAATTTCCATCTAATCACAAAAGCAATTAATCATTGACACTATTTAGGCGCTTTTTCTATGCTTATTAGATGGAAAGGGGACTGCAACTGGGACTGGGACAGAGACAGAGACGAATAGAGAGCTTACAGCAATGGGTGCTGTGCTTTGTTATGCTGATGCCATTGTTGGAGATCCAGGAGATACATATACAGATACAAATAAAGATACAAATGTGTGTACAAGGCGACAGGCCACGTAATTACAATTCTTTTGGCATGTATCGTATAATAATAAGTTACCGCGGTCATCACCGCATAACACAACACAACACAACACAAAGATCGTGTGTATAAAAAGATATTGTATCTGCATCTCGCATCCGTGCGCTGCCTGAGCGACATTGAATTATCACATTGCTCTCATCTTCCATCCCATCCCATCACAAACCAAACGCCTTTTTCGGGGTTGGGTTCGGTTCGGTTCAGTACGGATTGGTTGACAAACTACAATATAATAATGTGGCATGGCATTCATTGTCAGTCCAAAGGAACGGGAACGGGGGAAGTGCAGAGGGGGAGCCAGTTATTGTCATGCAGAGACAAGATATGTATTTACACAATTACTCGAGTCTGGGGATCGTTCGCACACATCGAATGGGTGTATATGGTACGAGTACAGATTTTTCCATCTTGAATTTACGTACAAAGCTAATTTATCATTTCGTCAGGTCCAAAACTGTAAAAACTCCGCTGAATGGATGCCAATATTTTTCAGTTCAGTTCAGCATTATAACCGCAAAATAAATAACATATACAGACACATGTACCAATGTACATACAATATAACAAACGATGACTGCTATGGGACCGACCGAACTCTTCGTCGTCCAATGTTAAAGCCGGGGCCAAAGCCCAACCCGTCGATTGAAGCTGTCAACGGGTACGTACGCACAATAAAAACCTTTTGTCCGTGAACTGCGTGAGATACTTTCTGGCCGAACGGCTGGTCAACTGCATTCGTGGAGGAGATGGTAGATACAGATACCCGTGGAAGGTAGATGGTGTGGGGGGGGGGGTATGGTATTGGTATGGACATGTGCAAGTGCCTAATTATGTGGCCCAAGTCAATTTGTTCAGCGTCCGACCCATTGCGAGCATGGTCCCTCAGTATCTCAGTCTCTCAGTCTGTCAGTCTTTCAGTATCGTCTCTGCTTTGTTTGACTTTTCTCGCTGCGGGCAAACAATAAATGTTTTGTAGTGATTAAAAAGTAGTGTGAAATCGATTATACGAGTATATACTCACATTAACCAGACCCAGACCCCTTTCGACCCCTTGCTGGACCGGATATATGCCGCATCCCCCCGCCCCAGTCCAGGCTCCGGCGAGTGTCAATATTGAATCGACTTTAGCGATACATGTTAATTCCTGTTAATTGTTGCGTGTCGGGTATTTTTTGATCTCACGGCGTCGTCAAGGGTACGTCCACAGGCCCGATGCATGATATTGATAGATCCAAGCGAGGTTTACTAATATTTGATTTCTAGAGTATTCACTCATCCACGTTGCTCGTACTCGTACTCCAGCGGACGTCAACTTCCGCGAAAAGAGGGAACCGATTCTGACTAGAAGCCACAGATCTCCTGTGAGCAGTTCACGGCAAAGGTCCAGGGAATTCTATAGAGGAAAAGCAAAACTCTGACCTATGCCCGGGGTAATTTCTACCCCAATGTGTGACTCATTCCCCTGGAGCTACACATATGTATAGTGATACGCACGATGCGACAAGAATTGCCACCATGTCGAAGCTGGTGTAATGCCATCCTTAAGACCAGTGCTCACAGTATCTTCTCCAGTGTCTTCTGCTGCCTCAGTTCTGCAACCGAATCGATTCTTTCATGGCGATCCCAGATCAAATAATGGACAAGCTGAAGGAGACAAGGTCTGGCCCACCTGCACAAGGGATCATAGTTTGGTGGAGCGAGCAACTCCCCGCAATCGGAGTCGGCGGCGCACTTATCTCGATAGTGGTCATTTTTATGGAAAATAATATATAAGAAAAGACGAAAGTTTAAAATAAAATAGGTGAAATTTTTAAAGTTGAATTTACCTGTTTTTAAATTTTCCCGCGCAATAATTCGTTCAGTGTGACCGCAGATTTATTGCTAAAATATACCGAGTACGGAGCTTTAGGCATATACTAAAAGCTTTCTACACTCAGTGGCGCTGTGCAGCATTTGGTAAGTGTTGCTCAGCACTCAAAAAGCTGCTCGACATTTACGTTTTATTCAAAATAAATATTTACATTTTTGTTTCTCTTACTTCGTTTCGATGTGGAGAGAAAATGATTAATAAAATATTATCCTCAAATTAATCATATAAACATATGTCTTAGAAAAATTACGTTCACCCAAACTATTTGGGTGGTTAAGATACCAGCCTAAAAGTATGTAGCTAAATATTCATCCAACATGACCAACACGTTTTCTTTATATGGTCAAAAGACCATGAACAATTTTTGTAACGGTTTCGGTAGCTCCAGCAAGTTTATGGAATCATCAACTCGTTTAGTATTTGCCAAAGGTTGTCCTGCCGCACAGAAGTCTATTCATAGTACAATGTACTGTGATTTGGTTCATATCTCTCGCAAAATACTCCCCCAATAAATTCCCCCAATACAATACAATAGCTGATACAGAACGAGCCTCCACTTCCACGTTGTGGTCGTGGATAAAATAGAACCTCTATTGCACAACCCTAAAACCCATACCCATACCAGAACCGAACGCCATTAAATATTATCAAATATTATTATATCGATCTTTGCGCCAGTGTGGAGTTGACATTGAGATCTGCCGCGTTTCATATGAATATACATATATTCGCAGATAAATATCAATGAAGTGGTCCGCAAACATGCACTGGGAGAAACGACAAGTTAATTGCCGAATGTGTATTTAAATCAATTACGTGCCCAATTAGATGAGTTCCCTCCCAAAATGTGAAAGATCACAGCAATTCATTGAGCGGTGTAGGTGGAGGTGGAGGCGGAGAGGGGTATTCCCTTGGTGACGGGGTAAATCTGTATAATCAAAACAGAAAACGAAAAAACGCGATGGCAACAAGGTGGAAGTGTTGTAGTTCAGACTGGTAAGATACCCTATAGTGGGTCGGCGTTGAGCTACAGAGCTTTTTCAGTAGGAATTGCTCTATTTCTACACCACTGACTATGATCTATGTATTACTGGGTTAGATCTGGCGTAACCCAACCGTTGGAATGGCACTTACAGCCAGCCCTTTAACAAAATGAGTCCGCATGGTATATACCCTTTCTGATCGGCTCTTGTATAACAGCACATATTGTTTTCGTTGGTTTTTATGGCTCGCCTGCCTGCCTGCCTTGTGCCATTCGCGATATTTGATGGGTGTTGTGTTCCGTGGTTTGTTAAACGGCGACAACGGTTACTCTCTGTCAGTCAGTCGTTCGCAACGGTTTAGCTGCGAACTCGAAGGCAAAACTCAAACACGACGCAGTGCAACGCATGCAGATACGATACGGAAACAGAAGCAGAAGCTGCACATACAGATACAAATACACCGTCCGAGAGTCGAGAGTCCGATACGCAGCGCGACACGCAGTGACCAGTGAAGTCTGTCAAGTGCCTGCACAATTTACGTATCAAATTCGAGTACAATACAATAAAAGTAAAAGTGTAAGGAATGTCTGTGCCACAACAGCCGCAGCAGGCATTGCCCACAATTGCTGCAATTCTCAATCATCAGCAGAAGACGGGAGTCGTCGGAGCAGGTGCAGGAGGATCCATGGCCATGCCATCCAGTGCAAAGCCAAAGACCAAAAGGTGCGAGCTACTGCCAAAATGTATTTCTTTTAATTTTATTTGACCCACATTCGGTGCCACGTTGCGTATACGTCACGTGAATAAGTTTTTTCGTGCAGAAATGTATTTTCGGATATTCGCAAGAGCCAAGAGCGCAGAAAGAGCGCGCGAATCAAGAAGTTTACTGCAGCTGAACAAGCTGAATGTATGTTGCCTTGCCTATTTGCTTATTTACATTCAGTCTTCGGCTTTAACCAGTTTGACGCCTCGAGCCGGTTAACGAGCTGTGCGCCAGACGAAAATATACATTCATATATACTGTCCGAGTATTGTGGCAATAAATCAGCCAAGTCTGGCCCGAACCCGAACCCCAACGCCAACGCGAACCGAACCCGAAGTGATTGCGATTTGGACGGGGCTTTATGGATCACTCTGCAAATCCATAAAACTTATCAATCTATCCAATCCAACACTTATTCGCTTCGCTTGGGTTGGCGCTGGCCCGAACCGAGGATTTCATTGAGCTTATTTATTAATTGACTGAGTTAAATTGCTTTTACCTCAATCGATGGCATCTTTGGCGTCTATCATTTATTAACAAACTTCAAATAATATGCCGACCGATCGTCTATGCAAATCATTGAGTGCATATCTCATACGACGCGCGTCATACGTATATGCTTAAGCATGAGCATTCGGTGCGAAGAGATAACAAAGTCAAGGCCCAATGGATGCCTGACGGCGGAAGCGTCATGGAAAGCCGCCTTCCGATAAAGTTTTCCCATGCCTGAACAGTGTCGTGACGTGCTAGTGTGTTGTTAAGTGTTATCTGAAATGACTTCAATCAAAATATTCCCCCAAAAAGCCCCCCGTCGTCATTATGGAATCTTTGGGTAAGTTTTCCAATCGGAGGATTCTTCAAGGTAAGTCTAAACAGCCCTCTCGTCTCTCTGTCGCCAGCCGATTGGTTCTTATCAAAAAGGGGCATGGCATGCCGCTTGAATCGGTTTAGTTTGAGCTTTGCAGGTGTATATAGGGACACTAATTATCGTGTACTTGGCGTCACTTTAGTCACCATTTTTAACGCCGGGCTCTTAATTGCTCTGATAATTAAGTTTAATGGTTGTTAAATACGCATCACTGTCTTGTTTTTCTTTCACTTAGCCTGAAATCTGCATCCAAATACTGAATATCGTGTAAACGTGTAATAGCACTGCTTATTTGTTCTGTTTAGTGTTTGCTGCTTTGAACTGCTTCCAATACTCTCCGCTTCGCTCGGACTGTGAGAGACTTTATTTTAAACAAAACAAATGTTTGCATATATTAAATGCCAGATTTAATGCCCAAAGTATATTATTACTATCGCTCTGAAAGCTCCCATCCCTAGCGCCAACAAAACCTAAAGCTGAAAGCTAAAAGCTGACGCTGACGCTAGCGCTGACGCCGACGCCGACGGCGATGCTGATAAGCACAAAACTTTTACCAACAGCACTGCGCGCGGCTTCTAGCAAGCATACGCCGTGTTGTTCACCGAAGCTGAAGCGAAGCCAACGCAGACGCCGCCGCAGACTTGGCGTTCATTCACAGTCGATCTCGCCTCGTATTCGAAGAGCCCCAGGCGTTCAATAGCAAACAAACGATCGAATCGAACATAGCGCAGGTTAGTTCTATTCTGCGTGTAGCTCAGTGCGTCTTGTATCTACGAGTGATTCTGCGAGATAGTGTGTGTCAGGTTTAGTGCGAGACGGTAATTAATTAGCAAACTTGTCTTAAGTTTACTAATTAAAATAAAAGAGTAAGGAAAGCCACCGAAGTCACGCAGCTGCTACAGATATTTTTTATATAAAAAGGTTTGGCAGTGCATTGACAGAGACAAGTGTGTTTTTATAGCATAACGCGTTTCGAAATTCGCGCGCTTGACTTAAGCTTTTTTCGGACTGCTTCCTGGGTAAATGACGATACGGCGAAACGTTTACTGTATTTTAAGCCCAGCATTCAGCTTTCAATGGAAATTTTTGAAATTTGTATCTCCGAGATAACGAAGAAGTGTGTTTGTGACTACCTGTGCGTGTGTGTTTTGGATTTGAGATGTAAATCTATTCAAATATTGAACAGTGGTCTGGTCTGCCCAACTTTCCATTTCGAATTTGGGTACTTTTTGTGGATTCAGCTCGGACATGATTGGGCTTCATTCGCACTCCATGCCCACCTCATGGCTGAGTGCCTTGAATAGTGATGAAACAGTTGGGAAGCAATTAAAAACACCTAAGCACATTGCCTGCACATTTGTTAATATTGTTGTTTATCAACTACCAACCGCATTATTGACTTATAATTATGTGCATTATTTAGCATTTAAAGCCCACAATGCACATGATAGAAGCAAGCCTGCAGCACGTGGAAAAGCAATCGACAATCGATCCCACAATTGCGCAAGAGGCAGACTCTGTAATTAGAGGGAGAACCCACTAGGAACTCTAACGTCGAATGGCCATTAGCTTTATATTCTGCCCAACAGAGAGCAGCATTCTGATATTCTCAAAAGATTTGGTTCCGTTCCTCATTTGACATTCATAAAACACACTTTCGAGACAATAATCGAGATGCTCGCCTTGAGCGAAACAATCCCCATACCGGAGAATGTTTATTTATAAAGAATTATGCCAAGTCTTTTTGGTTTTTGGAAAACATTTCTACACACCATACCCGACTGTGTAGGCTGCTGTTCTACTTTGCGGGTATTTATACACGTTCATTTTTTTATACTTTATACTCGTTCAGTTCAGTTCAGTGGAATGTACGGGTACGGGTACGGAGTGCCCAAGAAACTGTGTTGTTTTTGTATACTAATTAGAAGGCGGCTCGTGTGGGAAGTCTTATCAAAATTATCATTGAAAATAAGTATGGCAACACGATTGCCGGGGTCACTTGATTCTATAAAATAAAAATGCCTGATAAGTAAACAGACCAGACCAGACCAGACACTCAGTGGTATGCATGTTGCCAACTTAGTTTTTTGGGACTTGGATCATACGATTTTTGCATTGTCCCCGCACTAACCTTCTCCATTGATAATTTTCTGAGACTTTAAGCGCACATTTGCTGGGTAAACACTCGAAAATACTTCAAATATCTGGCGTTTCATATATACAGTGTGTATAAGCAATTTTCGCCCCAAGCTTTATCTACGGACTTAAAAACAAAAAACAAAAAACAAACGTACTCCCACGAAAAAACAAGCAAAAAAAAAAAGAAACCAGACTCAAACCAAAAACAGAATTCTCTCGGTTTCTTGGCTCGGGCCCAAGGTCAGGGTAGCGATAAAGTGTTTCGTTTGCTCCAGCAGCTGAGATCAGCTATACAGCATCCTCCGCTCTGCAATGAATGAAAACCTCAGAGAAATTGAACCTTACATAAGCTAGCACATGCCTTTGATTAAACACTATCCCATCACATCTTTGGTTTGGCAAATTCAATCACGGGTTGCTCGATAATCACCGCTAATCAAATTTGACAAACCAATCCCATCAATCCACCACGTCGCGTGTTCCCCAGCCGGAGTTAGTGACTCTATTAATCTGATTTGGGATAAATATAGCGTCATCATATGATCGACCAACAGGTTTCACACGGAACACATTCTAGGGCACAAATTGGGCCAGTCAGGAGTGCCAAATATGGTTAGATCTGTATATTCATTCTGTTTATCCAAGGTAGTTTTAATATCATCTCTGTGATTTTTCACAGTTGGTTGATGTCATTCAATCCCACACAATGACATTGTTAAGATTCAATTTGTGCTTGGCAAACCATAACAGAACCCACGTTGCCTTAGAAGGGAGTGGAAAATAGTTAGTTTGATTCTCAATTCTCGCCTCGAGCTGATAATGAATGCTCCTAGTGATCATGGGTTATCAATCAGGTCTCAGCCGTCATTGATCAAAGTTTAGTTCCAATTCAAGTATCTCTGCCTCTGCCTCTGCCTCCACTGGCTGCTTGCTGCACAGCGATACGCTTGAAATTCTTTGCACACTTTTCGTTGCATAATTTATAGGCTGGCTTTTGCTATTTGTGTCAGGTCTTATCGCCCCACACACACTTCTCTTCTGGTTTGCTGTTGACTAGTATCAGATGAGCTGCATATAAAAGCGTGCACGGGTCTCTATATAAATAGAAGGCGGGGCGGAAAAGTAAGTTATATGAACTTCTTGATTAAAAACCGAATCGGACCATAAATTTCCCATTCATTGACAGTCCACTAAGAAAGTAAGAACCTAGGTCAATGATGAATTTTACTCCATATAGCACAAAGATAACACGAAGGGGTAATGCACTGCACTGCCCATTCATGCAAGTTGTAACCACTTAACGATTTGTTCTATAACTCTTTCCATAAAGTCCGAAAAATAAGCTGCTCGCGTACAGCCTTCAGACGGTTGATAATGGGAGATTCCTCTGTCGTAAACTAATTTTAGCCACGTTGTATGTCAGCACAGCACATGATTTGCCTTGGGACCTAGAACTTGCTCCACGAAACGTCAAGCGAGGTGTTTTCGGCTGTAGACCCCGCCACTTGGATCACTTTTTTCGGGAACTCTTTTATCACTGGCCATATAGTATGGTAGTACACACCCATAAATTTGTTGCCTTTAAAGCCTGTAGCATTGGGACGGCGGTTTTTCACCGGCTGATGCCTTTAAGATGTTGCGTAATAGAAGCAACAAAGAAGAAGAGCAACGTCAGCAGTTGCGATTCCATTGATAAGCCGGAAAGATAAGAGTCTTAGTTTTAGGAGGTGAGTTCGAAGAGATGTGTGGGGTGTCGCGGGGGGTTCAAGATCAATGGAACTGGAAGGGGAAGAGTTCGGGGAGGGGAAGGGGAAGGGAGATGTCAACTAAAGCTGCCGCCCGTGCATAGTATAATGAGCTTAATTATTTCCAACACGATGCCTGGAAACAGGCGGCTATCGGAGGCGTATCTATACATAGACAACCAAACGAGTACTTCCACAGATACATAGC